CAACGCCCGTGCGAATGCCTGAGCACGCGGGTTAGTCGATGCCATAAGTCGAGCCCTCTCTCGCTCTAGGATGTCACATGCTGCATCCGGAGAACCAGTCGTTGTCACTCTCTGGGGCTGCGTGAGACTCTCCAGCCGCGTCGTCCCTCTATGGAGCGCGATCCGTCGATGTCGCCCCGCCGCAACTAGGTGGAAGGCCCATCGACAAATCTAAATCCAAGTGGCTCCCCATCTGCGAATCCGACATCCCAACCCCCTCGCCACACCTGGGGTCATACCCGCCATGACCGGATCATACTGCTCCGTGAGGAACTGCTGCATGAGGCGCTCGTCTCTGCCCCCACGTGACGCCTCCACCTGTGTCCCTATCTCCTCCTCCACTGCTCCTGGCATTCCCCCCTCCACTGCATCCGCTCCTCCAGCTGCTCCTGCTGCTGCAGCCACAAGCCCATCCAGTGCAGCTGCTCCTCCTCCAGCTGCTCCTCCCGCTGCTCCTCCAGCTCCTCCCGCCTGCCCCTCCACTGCATCTCCTCCCCCTGGCGCTGGTGCCTCGTCCGCCAACACTGAAGCTGCCATCTCCTCTAGCAATGAAGTCGCTGCTGCTACAGCTATCTGGTCCACCACACTTGCAATCGTCGTGTCCGCCAATCCCCCCTCCACTGCCATCTCCCCCTCCACTGCTGCTGCCGACGGTCCCCCCTCCTCCTACAAGACCCCCGGAGAAGGTGATCGTAACCTCTGCTGTCGGACAACCCCGCCTCTGTGGAGTAGTCCGCGCTGAGGCAAAGAGGACGCCAACTCCTCCGTGTCCTCTGCTGATGTGGTCGGCTCATATGGCGCGACGGGCGATGGCGGTGCACGACTCGGAGCAGAAGGTGGCGGCATGGACGACTCCTGCCTCGTCGGAGCGGGGCTCGTCGCCCGCGCTCCTGTGCCGCCCGTCGAAGCGACCTCCCCGAACGGTACCCACAACTCCTCCTCTCCCCCCATCATCTCCCTCTTCGCCCTGTCAGCGTCCCGTCCTGCAGTATGCGCCCTGGTGTCCTCCTCGGGATCCAGGTGTGTCTCGTCGATCTCATGGGGAATGCGGAGCGCGGGGTCGTCCGCTGCCTCGGGTACCGGCTCCTCGTCGAAATCATCCTCCCTGGGGTAAGGACGGAAAATGGAAGCACGTCTACCGAATACGGCCTCAGCGGCGGGTGGTGCGGAGACCCCGATGGGATCCCGGGTGATAAGCGCAACCTGACGGGCAATCTCCTCCGGCGTCATCCCCCTGCGCGTGCCCGTGCGCACTGGCTCCAACTCCAGTCCGGCCTGGCAGTCTAGCATGCCCTCGTCCCGCTGCCATGGCAGCACATAACTGCACCCAGCCTGTCGATACTCCGACAACCGCACATTCGCGGTGATCTCAATGAGCTGAACTACCTTCTCAAAGGCCAACTAGTTGCGCTTCTTTGTCGTGGACTGCCATGTTCCTCTCCGCTGGAGAAGCGCAAGACCACATGTGCATCACACGAAGAGCGCAGCGCTGCAACTCAGGCGCGCCAGACCCTTACTAAGACCACCAGGACGCGCACTCAATCGTCTCCCTGTCGCCGCTGCAAGCACGCCCACGATCACGCCCCTCCCCCCCTCCCCAATCCCCAAATGTGCCCTGCTGCATGTGGAAGTCCTCAAACTGCCGACATGCGATGATGTACTCCACACCATCCTCCTCGTAACCCGTCTGCGTCAAAATGTACCTCTTGGCTTGCCTTACAAGCCAACGAGGGTAATCCCTCACCTCGCCCGAAAAGTACTCAACATGTCGCCTGCGGGGGTTCAGTAAGAACCCCGCGCAGTGAGCAGGCTCCAGCATGTGCTGTGTGCGAGCCTGCACACGCTTGATGATCCGGTCAACGAAAACCCTCCCCAAAGGAGCACATGCATAAGTGACACGGCGGACAAGATCCTGTGTCCACTCGATCATGAGGGACATGTACTGCCCCCCACGATCCATCCGCCTAAGCAGCTCCATGACGGGCTGCGTGATGTGGACTATGGTGGCCATCGTGTGCCACCAAGGCTCCCATCTGATCTGCCGGCGCACCCAACGCGCCATGTCGCACACATCGACGGACCACGGTATAAAAGCAAACTCCCGCCCGTCATCCCCTCGCATCATCGCCTGCAGAGCGTCCTGCAGGGCCAACAGTCTCTCCAACATAGAATAAACAGACGCGAACCGCGTCTCGCAAGAAAGCACAAGCCCCTTGTTGGGGCTGCGCTTCCTAAAGAAATAAAGGGCGGCTTGGTGGGTTTTGAAAAACACCACTTGAACACGAGCGCGTGTAATCGCGTCCAGAAACGCGTCGCAACTCGTCCCAATGTGTGACAACAATTTGTTGCAGACATGGACGGAACACAGAAGCCAAGTGATCCTCCTGATTGCAGGAGGGATGCCTGACGAGGCCAATGCCCTCGCAGCCCCCACGTACGCCGATGCGGAGTCTGTGCATATCGCATTGAACCGCTGCAGGCCGCCGAAATTAAACTCGTGGAAGATGGTCACCCATCTCCGAAGGACGTGCACTGCATCGTCCGGCTCGCCCTCACGATTGATCGTCGTGTAGACGACGACCCCTCGCGAGCCGGCGGCAAGGAAATTCACGATCGGTCTCCCGTCTCGTGATTTCCTCCCGTCGGAGAGGAGGGTGGCACCAATGATCCAGAATGGCTGCCTCACCTCCTCCAACTCCTCCGCCAGCTCCTCACGGTGGGTCTCCACCGCCTACATACTCGCAATCTCGTTGTGGCTGGGGAGCATAGCGCGCGGGGAACTGCCAGGCTGCTCAAGAAGGACTTGCTGGTATGCCTTCCAAGCCTGGTTGCGGAAGGCATTGAAGGGGACCCCGCTGGAATTGAGCCAGCGAAGGAATGTCTTCTTGTGGCCAGCAACCCACTCGCCACCGTAGACGTCAGTGACCTTCTGCTGGCGAAGCCTCTTCCCACCTGGGGCGGCGACCGGATATGTTCCACCTTCCTTCCTCTTGGAAGAACCCTTCCCTACAGGTCCCTTGGCTGCTCGCCTCAAAAAGTCATCCATCCTCTCCCCAGTGCCTGGATAAACCTCAGGCACGTCCTCGTGTCCCAGGACTCCCTAGTCGCCTTGGACACGCGCCTCGCGATCGACGTCGATCGCGCCCTCCTCCGTGTCTCCACCTCCACCATCTCCCCCGACCCCTCCTAACGCTCCCTCCACGGGCTGCCGCCCCGCCTCTCCTCCCATCACACCACCCGTGCCAGGCACATCGACTCCGCGCTCCGCCGCGTACCTGGCAACCCTCTCCATTTGATCGCTCTCGAACTTTTGTTGACTCCGTCGCGTGATCTCGTACAAAGCCTCGTCGCTGACGTCCTTGCAGTAGTTCGTCTGCGTGAAATGCCTCGTCGGCTGGAATTGGCTCCCCTGAAATACTTTGTTGCAAAAAGTGCAACGCAGCATCATGACCCCCTTGTTGTTGACCTTCTGGCCGACAACCAGGTAACGGTACACAGGGGAGCGACCCCTGAATGTGTCCTGCACATGTTCAGGGGCAGGCTCATGCTGACGCCGCTGTGACCTCCCCATGACGGCCGCCCTCGCCGCCTTGCGAGTCAACAATCGCAACCCCTTCCTCCCCCCCAAACGCGTGGCCTCAGGC